TCAACGATTGGTGAAAATATATTTAAAAAAATTAACTGTTTAAATTAACATTTAAAATGACCTAAGGGCATAATAATAATAATAATAATAATAATAATAATAATAATAATAATAATAATAATAATAATAATAATAATAATAATAATAATAATAATAATAATAATAATTGTTTTAATAATAATTTTTTTAAAAAATATAGATGTGTTTTAGGAAAATCATTCTCAAAAACGCTAAGTGAAAATATTGTAAATTTCAATGTTTGTATTTCAGTGGTTTGGAACAAATTGTTGCTTCAAACTGTTGAATAACCAAAACACTTTCTTTAGCATTTTGATCTTTTGGTTACATCATATTTATCAATCGTCCGATATCTTTGGGTTACATTATAATTATAAAAAAATTTAAATTTTACTACATCTAAATTCCTTAAATTAGGTATTTCTTTATCCATAATAATGTATTCAACAATAATGGTTGAACTAAATGAACACTAAGCAAAACACCTAAAGGATTGGTACCGTTGATTCATTCCTTGATCTTGTATATATGTGCATTCATTAAATATATTAGAACCATTTGCAACAAAAATACTTGGTTACTATTTAAAAAAAGTTTAGTAACAACTATAATGAATCTCCTATGTTACATTGTATTCATATACTATGAATTACATATTTAAATAAACAAATTAGACATTAAATTACTTATGTTGAACTTCTCATATATAATCTTGCATTGATATACTTTCAAATATTTATTTAATTATAAACATTGGGTAGAAAAAATGACCGTCAAATTATTAAATCAAATGAATAGTTCAGATTGTTCAAATTTTAATTTTTCCTTGAGATTTCATAATTTATCCTTAATTATATGATTATTCGATCCGTTAACTTTTTCATTAAGTACCGTTAATTCACCTTTAGTCTAATTCTAATATTAAAGTCTAATATAGAATTATAACTACAACATTAATTCAATTCTAATATTAAAGTCTTAATAGAACTCTAACTACAAATCCCACTGTCGGAATCTCCTCAAACAATATTAGTATATATTTAATATTTTATGCTTTAATTTTTACTTGCTCTCCCTTATGTCCCATATTTGGTTTCAACCATACTCATATAATTATTTTATTGACAATTATAATCAATCTTGACTATATTATCTAGCATTTGTAAACTTAGAATTACCAATTTAAATACGCAAATTCAACATTCAATTATCTATGCATGAACAATTCCAATATAATCTTGCATTGATATACTTTAAAATACTTATTTAAAAAAAAAAACATTGGGCATTATCTCAATCGGGCAATGCGCGTAAAAAACTAGTTTATTTTAAAAGTGACGATTTTTTTCCCTTTTATGTTAAATAGACATTTTTATCCTTAAAAATAAGTATTTCATTTATTTTTATTATTTATATACAAAAATTATAATAAATACGAGCGAAACAGAATATACACCATTTGTATATATTATAATTATAGTTTTAAACTAATACTAGTAACAAAATTAAACTTAAACACAAATAATTCATTAATACTAATAAATTATTTTTATAATATTAATATTACTAGATTTGACTTAAAATTATAATTATAATTATAATATTTACAAATGGTGCCTATTTTTTCACATTTATTCTAATTCCCACATATAAGTAGATTAGTCTTTTCTATGCGCGATGCGCAAAAACATATGGCCAATATATATGTTTTTAAAAATAACTAACAAATTTTTACTAATTAAAATCTGAGTGAAATAAAATTTATTTATTATATTAATCTAATATATATAATGAATATATAATGTTTTACAAATATTGTTATAATTAAATAATATAAAAAAAGATGTGGTAGATGCATGTGCATGGTAAATGTAATGGAAAAGATAACGGAAGTTATAACGGTAAGGGTATTTTTGTCCAAAAAATTGTATAGTACAACTCTAAAAGCACAATGTACAAAATGGTTAACATTAAAAACATGGACATAAATGAGGAATATAACTTTGATTAAGACTTATTATGTTTTTAGATTAGATATGACCGTGATTTGATTCTAGTTCCCGGTTCTGAGAAATAATAAATCGGAACCGGTAGTTCAAGTTTGAACCGCCAGTTCAATTTTTTTATTTTTTATTTTTTTTAAATTTTATTTTCTGTTTTAAAATAATCCAAATTCAAGAATTAAATTATTTTATTTTATTTTATTTTTTCTGATTCGGAATCGAAACCAAAGGTTCCGGTTAAGACTGAAACCAAAACTTTTTTAGATTTCAATTCTAAATCGTAACAGGAACCATCCATACAGTTTCAGTTTCGATTTGGTTACTATAGTGCCGGTCGATTTGAACCGAACAATGGTCATCTAACCAATAAATGAAATATTTATTGTTAGAGAAAAAAATAAATGAAATATTTATTGTTAAGGGTAAAAATATACGTTTAACATAAAAAGGTAAAAAAAACTGTCACTTTTAAACTAATTAAAGGGGTTAATGTGGACACATGAATAATTCAGAAAAAAAAAGAAAGAACCGTAAGTATATAATTCAAGAAAAAAAGGTGTCATTTTCCCTATTTTTATTATGTACGACATTTGAATCTTTTTACTAATTATTTCTTCCAAACCAAAACAATCGAACCTATATTTTAAATAATTTGTTTTTCATTAAATTTCAATTTAATTCCTTCTTAATTTTGTTCGGCCGCACCAAATAGGCTATGGGTTGTTAGCCTGTTAGTAAACTCTATAGTGAGTAAAAGCTTCAATAAATAATATTAAAAAAAAAATACAGAAGTACATATTACGAAGATGTTTGGTAGCCACGAAAATTTAGATTTTTCTTAAAATTTAAAAAATAGAAAATCATTCTCAAGTTTTGTACAATTTTTAACTTTTAAAAAAGTTTAGGTCAATGAAAATTACATATTATTTTATTAAAGAAAGTAAATTTTACATAGGTAATGTAGGATTCTTTTTCCCAAAGATAACTGGGAATTTATCCTTTCTTGGCATCACATTAGAAATCTTTAATGAATATAAAAAGTTTGCCTCTCTCCATTACAAATTGTTTATCAAAAAAATTTACATCCAAATACGTAATTAAAGTATTCTGTAATCTAATTTGCAATATAATTCATTCTGTAATATTGCAGTACCCCTCTCTCTCGATATATATATATATATATATATATATATATATATATATATATATATATATATATGTAACATGATTAACTTGAGTATAACTTTTGAATACTTAATTAATTTGATGATTGGTATTTTTTGCCATATGGTTTATTAATTAACAAGTAATTTATTAAATTATCAATTATTTGTTATGTTTTTTTTTTTTTTTTTTTTTTTTTTTTTTTTTATTGTTTGTATTGATGAGAATATAATTGTGTTGTATTCTATAATAATGTCTGAGAGTACATGAGCGAATATATAGAGATGCTAGATAGAATCCTAGTCTAACACGAATAATATAGTCCTAGTCTAATATGAATAATATAGTCCTAATACTCCCCCTCAAGCACAAGGTTGGCTAGCCAAAACATTGAGCTTGTCACGGAGAGAGTTAAAACGAAGAAACGACAGAGACTTTGTGAAAATATCCGCTAGTTGATCCTTGGTTGAAATAAAGTGCACTTCTAATTCCTTTTTGGCTACTTTATCGCGAAGAAAATGATAGTCAATCTCAATGTGCTTCGTGCTGGCATGAAACACTTGATTGACACATAAATAAGTAGCTCCCAAATTATCACACCATAGTCGAGGAGGAGATGCAGGCGGGATGCCGATTTCATGTAACAGAGAAACGAGCCATGTAACTTCTGCATATACATCAGCGAGTCCCTTGTATTCTGCTTCAGTCGAAGAACGTGCCACCGTCTGTTGCTTCCGAAAAACCCAAGATATAAGATTATTGCCCAAGAACACAGCAAAGCCACTAGTAGATTTGCGGTCATTCGGATCACCAGCCCAATCTGAGTCAGAATATGCGTGAATATCCATAGATGTAGACCGAGAAATACGCAGGCCAAGATTCAGGGTGCCTTTGACATACTGCAGGACTCTCTTTAGAGAGGCCCAGTCTGTAGTAGTGGGAGCATGCATATGTTGACACAATAGATTAACAGCATAAGATAGATCCGGACGAGTTACCATAAGATACTGGAGAGCACCAGCAAGACTCCTGTATTGTGTTGGATCGGCATAGGGAACGACCACGTCGTCTGTGATTTTCGCAGAAGAGACAGAAGTGATTACAGGCTTGCAGTCCACCATGCCAGCTAGGGCTGTGCATCGGACGGGTTCGGGCGGATCGGTTTAGAAAACCGTTCATCCGCTCGGATTTTGGATTGGGAAAAACTACCCCAATCCGTTCGAATTAAGAGGGAAATCCTATTGGATTTCCCATGTTCGGATACGGTCGGGTGGGGTCGGATTTCGGTTTGAACTCGGATTAATATAAAACATACCAAAAAAAAAAACTGTAACAATGTTCAAACTTAATAACCATAATCTAAATTACCAAAGCTATCAGCTATGTAGGCATTTAGATTTTAGATACATAATTACATATTGCAGTTTCCAACTTGTGTTCAAAATTCAAAAAGCAAAAATGAAGTCCACAAAATGAGTTTTGTCTACAATACTCAAACAACACTAAACTACTAACTACTAACTACTAAAGTACTCAACAAGTCAGCAGTCAGCAACTCAGCAAGTCAGCAAGTCAGCAGTCACCAATCAGCCTTCAGCAATCAGCATTCATCCATTCCTCATCTTCTGCTCAATTACAAAACCAGTAAAGACTTTAAACTTTAAAGCCAATAAAGACAAAGAGTAGTAGGGAACTAATAATACTTAATAAGAAAGGCTCAGATTGCTTTTTTTCATATCATTTTAGAGTTGGGGGCAAATTGCTTCATGAGTTTTGTCTCAGAACAACATACCAAACATCCAAACTCTTTTTAATTCAGACAAATGGTGGAAGCATCATCATAGCCATAAGTCCATAACTAAACAGAAATGAGAATATGAGAGGAAGGGAAGTGATATACCAGAATTCCAGAATACCAGAGATGTAACTGAGTAAGGGCAGCAACATTTATAAAAAAGTTACCAAGCCACTTAGCAATTAGCAGTTCTGGAATCTTACCTGATTTGCCTCAAAGAGTCCACACATTTATCAATCAAACTAAACAGAAAGTCAGAAAGCAATGTTATATAAAAGTATTACAGCAATTGTTGGGAGTGTTCCAACAGTACTTGGTAAAGAACCAGCAGCTCCAGTGGACAATTCTGCACAAAAAGGAAAAACAAAAAAGAGTTTAGAAAAGGTAAGTAACAATTAACAATTTATAAAGTAGAAACCTACAAAAGATATAAAATAAAAACAGTACCCTTCTCTAATCTTTCAACATCATCCAAGTTTTCCTCCACAGAGATTGGATGATTGGGTGCCCTCAACCAATCTTGTGCACATATTAGGGATTCAACAATTTTAGGAGTTAATGAACTCCTAAAGGATCTAATACCCTACCACTAGTACTGAATGCACTCTCAGAGGCAACAGTTGAAATGGGAACAGCCAGCACATCCCTTGCCATTCTAGAGAGTATAGGAAATCTATCACTGTTAACCTTCCACCATCTTAGAACATCAAAGTCCACATTTTCTTCATCTTCCACTATTTTTTCACTTAGATAAATCTGGAGTTCAGTTTGTTTACTGCTTCCACCAGCCTCCATTCTCTGTTGTTTAAGCTGGCTTTTCATTCTACCCTGAGGTTTTCCAACTGAAGTTTGAGAATGGACTGGTTCAGATTGGGTAGATTGCACAGTAGGGGATGCAGACTACACACTGTAGGTGGCTGTATAATCATTAAACAGGACAACCATAGAAGATTGAACCTTTTCAAAGCATGATTTTCCTTTTTCATCACCATACAACTGAGCAAATTGGGCAGGCATGTACTCAATCTTATCCCTAGGATCCAGAATATTGGCATAGAATATCAAGAAGTTCATTTTTTCAGGATCTCCCCAATATTTTTCAAATTTTTGTTTCATATGGGACCCCATATCCTATAAAACAGACATAACACAGAAAAAATTAAGAGATGCATACAAACACATTCAGATAAATGATACCAGTTTACAGTTTACCTTTTTAGAGGTTGAAACAGAGTTAACCATGTCATCCAGCATGCAACCTAAGTCAGAAATATCAGAAAAGAAAGTATTTGAAGTGACATATAGAGAACCAGATATTCTCACAGTCATCTCATAGAAGCCTTTCAGGAAATGGACTAAGCTTTGCACAGAAAGCCAATCCATAAAGTTTGGAATAGAATCAGGTAAGTCAGCATTCAATGAGGCATCATTCTCATAAGCTTCAAAGGCCCTCTGGTATTGAAGGGCAGTGTTAAGCATCATGTATGTGCTGTTCCATCTTGTTGGAACATCAAGTTGTAATGCACATTTGGCTTCCACCCCATTAAGCACAGCAATCTCTCTAAACTTCTTAAGTCTGGCAGGAGAACTCCTCACCCATCTCACAACATCTCTAACTTTCTTAACAGAAGGACCTGCATATCTCAACCCATCCTGGACCACTAAGTTCAACACATGGGCTATGCACCTCATGTGCATATATTGAACCCTAACAGAAGACCCACCCCAAGACAGAAGTTTGTTCTTGAAAAACCCCAAAGCTGTGTCATTTGAAGAGGCATTATCAACAGTAACAGTGAACACATTTCTAATCCCCCAATCAAGAAGACAACTCTCAAGGGCTTTGGCTATATACTCTCCCTTATGAGAAGAAATTGGGACAAAGGAAATGATCTTTTTGTTTAGCTTCCACTGATCATCAATGAAATGTGCAGTAATGCACATGTAATTGATCCTTTGGACAGAGGTCCATGTATCAGTGGTCAAGCTGACCCTTTGGGTGCTCACCTTAAACAACTTCTTTAGGGTTAGTCTCTCATCTAGGTAAATCTGATAAATGTCTCTAGAAATGGTCCACCTAGAAGGTATTTGAAACCTAGGACAAGCAACTAAAATGAATTTCCTAAAGCCATTTCCCTCAACAATCCTAAAGGGAAGTTCATCAACAATGATCATCTCACACAATGCCCTCCTAATAGCCTCTTGGTTGAAAACCCAAGTCCCCAAAACCCCCTCACAAGCTTCTGTTCCAGAGGCATTGAAGGTGAGAAGAGACTGCCTTGTGTCCTTACAATGAGGATTTTTTAGGCAGGCCTTCATATGGTTTTTCAAAGAGGAAGTGCCATGCTTTTTACTTTCACATTTATAGATTTTGGCACAATAAAGGCATTTGCCCTCAACTACTGGTCCCTCAGTTTCACCTTCAGCAGGTGGAGCACGGATCTTTTCAAAATGATCCCATACTATAGATCTAGACTCCACCTCTTTCCTCTTCTTTGTAGGAACAACAGGAGGAGAAGGCATAGGATTTGTCTGAGGATTTCTCTCAGTACCTTGAGCTTCTACTCCATGCTCCTCATCAGTTGAGGTTGGAGGGTGTCCAGTTGCACTGATGCTTTCCATCTATAAAGATGGGCATCAGTATCCAAATAAAGCAGACAACCAATCATACTAAAGCTTCCACCATACAGTACTCATACATAGAAGTATTACATATTTACATATTACTTATTTACTTTCAGTTAATTTCACATGTCATCATGTATGCAGAATTGCACATAAACAATTTAAGGGTCCCATATCCATAAACTTAATACAATTTACAATTTACAAAGAAATCCATATTCAGGCATTCAAGCTAAGTGGATGTATGCCACTTCATAATGCTCATCATATATATGGATTTCACACAAAGGGGCTAGGGCTTCCACCAGATTAGGGACAATTACCCCTTTAAGCCTTTAACTCAGTTAGTGAGTTACACACATACAGATTAAGCTTCCACCAACAATCTTAAATTAGAGACAAGTGAGTAAGTAATCTGGAACTTCTCAACAGATCACAGTCCTCACAGTCCATACAAATCACAGAATCACAATCAGAATAACCCTAATCAAACAATCAAAGTATCAATCTTAAATTAGAGACAAGTGAGTAAGTAATCTGGAACTTCTCAACAGATCACAGTCCTCACAGTCCATACAAATCAAAAAATCACAATCAGAATAACCCTAATCAAACAATCAAACTAACAATCTTAAAAACTAGGGTTTAGAGAATAGAGATTACTTCGTTTCTCTAAAATAAACCCCCGAGAACAAAGGGCTTCGATTCCTAGCCAGCGAACTGCAATCCACCGGAGTATCGCTCCCACCGGAGACTCGCTTGGGGCTTGAGGGCTACCGGAAACGAATGGGGCTTGACTCTTGAGAGCTTCCACCGGAGAATAATAGCTTCCACACTACAGACACTCACACTCTCAGGCTCTCAGCGTCTCAGAGACTCAAAGAGACTATATGAGAGAAGAGACTTTGAGAGAACTAGGGTAGAGACTAGAGAGAAGAGAGAACTGAGAGAGTTCTCTGGAAGAAGGGAATGAAGAGCTGCGCAAATGAGACTAGGGTTTGCGATTTCTCCGCTTCTTCTTCTATTTATACTTAGGCTACACGACGTCGTATTACATAGGGTTATATGTAGGCTTAGAAATGTTCGGGTTATCGGACGGGTTCGGGTGGAAAATATAACCCCCTCCCCGCCCTAACTAATGCGGCGTCGTTTTCGGCCTCGAATCGGTTTTGGCTATTCGGGTTCGGTTCCCGATCCATTCCAGTATGACGGGTTCGGGTCGGTCGGGTTGGGCGGGTTGGACGGGTTATGCACAGCCCTAATGCCAGCACGTTTGAGAATATCCTTCATGTTCCGTTGTTGGGATAAAAGCATATCGCCAGATAACGGGATAATTTCTATTCCCAAGAAGAAAGAAGACACACCCATATCACGAACCTTAAATTCAAGTGCTAATTTATCAATAAGAGAAGTAAGACGATCTGAGTCGGAACCCATAATTAAAATGTCATCAACATACACCAAGAAATAAAGACGAATATTGTCACGAGAATAGATAAAAAGATACACATCCGTCTTAGAAGGCGAGAAGCCCACAGAGACAACAAAATCATGTAGCCTTGTGAACTATGCACGTGGAGCATGTTTGAGAACGTATAGAGATTTTTTAAGCAAACATACATGATTAGGTAACGACTTATCCTCATAACCAGGTGGCTGTAGCATGTAAACAGTTTCAACTAGCTCGCCATTTAAAAAGGCGTTGTGAATATCCAACTGGCGAATAGACCACCCACGAGATACGACTAAAGATAAGAGAAGACGAACCGTAGTGGGCTTAACCACAAGACTAAAGGTCTCAAAAAAAGTCCTCTCCAGCAACCTGATTAAAACCCTTGACTACTAACCTTGCTTTATGACGGTCTATTGAACCATCGGCCTTCCGTTTGGTTCTGAAAACCCACTTGCAACCAACAACATTCATACCTGGTTGAGATGGAACGAGACGCCACGTATGATTATGGACCAAGGTATTGAACTCCGCATCCATTGCATCACGCCACTCAGGAAACTTGACCGCCTGAGAGTAACAGGTAGGCTCAGGCAATATAATGGAAATCGTAGTTAAGGCAACAGGTTGATGCGGGCCGAAGCCGCGAGTGTTCATGCTATGTGACCGAGGAGGCGGAGTAGCACGTCGAGGACGTCCGTGCGGCTTGTCGCGCTGCTCAACCTGCTGGTCCGAGACAGTCTGCTCACTCGATGCGGACTGCTCGTAACCGTGACCGGCATCACTGCCAGAAGCCGCCACGGGCTCGTGAATCTACCGAGCGCCATCAGTAACCGTGGTCGAGACATCACTTCCTTGGCCCATCACAATTGATGCAGTAGCCCACGGTTCGGAACGCGGTGTAGCAACCTGCGAGGCAATAGGAGAAACAAAGGGAGACACAGTCTCATCGAATCGCACGTGGCGACAGATAAAAACCTTGTTAGTGTTAGTGTCCAAACAACGATAGCCATGATAAGATGGAGGATAGCCTAGAAAGACACAGGGAAATGAACGAAACTGGAGTTTATTGCGATTATAAGGACGTAGGACATGAAAGCACAAACAGCCAAACACTCGCAAGTAAGAGTAGGACGGGGGAGATCGATGTAAACGGAAATGAGGGGACTCATCAGAACACGAGTATGCATTTTATTAATTAGATACGCAGTAGTTTCAAAAGCATAGTCTCAAAAACGAGACAGGACAGATGCTTGAGCCATTAAAGATAGCCCTGTCTCAACAACATGACGATGTCTGCATTCTACTTGACCATTTTGCTCGTGAGTATACTGATAGGCATATTTTATACTCATATTTTAGGTACATCTTTATAATAATTTTGCATTAATTATTTAATATTATCTAATAATTAGTTCTTTTTATAATATATATATATATATATATATATATATATATATATATTATGAATCTTAATATATTTTAAGTATTACTTTATATATTTGTGGGTCCAATTCATTGCAAAAGACAAAAGAAACAAAGTAATTAACATTTGAATGCTTCTTCAGGATCGTCGATTGCAAGCGCTATTCTCACGGCATTATTACAAAAAAGGGTCGAAAGATTATGTTGTGCGGCACAAAAGTAGGAAATTGAGTGGTAGGAAATAATTTAGGTTTATTTTTAGAATGCTATAAATAGTAGGAGTTTCCTTTTGTAAAATGTTCATTCTTCCCTCCTCTATAGTATTCGTTGAAGTTGTTATCAATGTCCATTTGTGGCTAATTTCTAGTTGGTTTAGTGAATTGAAGCCACGGAGTTCATAACGCTGTAAGGTTATTTATTTAACTTTATTATATATATGTTTTTATGCATTTTGAGTATTAAATATTCTTCTAAATTATTTGAATAGTTGTATCATTTAATTGCTAGGGAGGCCTACTAGTTATTTATTTGATATAATTATTTGCTATATTAGATAATGTTGTGCTACAAATTATTCTAATATTCAGTAGCAACTGAGGTTGATTATTGACGGCTTAGTGATAATTGGTCTCGGGTAGAATATTTTCCTAAATTAAATGCAACCGCTTGTGCTTGTGTTATTTAGTTTGTCGGTTTTCCTAGTTCCTATTGCTGCTATTAAATTAAATCTATAGCGCTTGTCTTAGATTATTTAGTAGTTAGGGGTAATTAAACCGCTTGTGCTTTATTTATCTACAACTAAGGGAAAACAGAAATGAAATAATTTCACGACAAATATTCAATTGCATATTAATTACTTTATTAATCAATGATCAGTTTTGAATTCCGGTGGTGGATCTTTACTAACCAAGGTCTCCTATTATAAGTGTTTTCGATATATTATTTTCATTGCTTTATTCGTTCAATTAAATTTCTTGTTTATTTAAATTCTCTTTTATTTTATCTTTATTCTCGATATATTCCAAACCCCCCTACCTTTAATTTGAGCACAAAAGTTAAACTAGTTACTCCTCGTGGGATCGATCCTTACTCCCGCTACTACGTTTGTAAGGTTTTAATTTGGAAGCCTACGACAGCTCACCAAATTTTGGCACCGTTGCCGGGGAGATTTTCTTGTTTATTTTGTGTTTATTTAATTATTTATTTGTTTAGTTGTTTTTCTCGTTAATTTGTCCCATAAATTTTTTTTTTTTTAAAAAATCTTTTCTTTCGTTACTTTTACATAATTGCTGCAATATATTTTCTTTTTGTTTATGCCTATAACTCGATCTGCTAACAAAGAAGTTTTGTCGTACGATCCAGAAATTGAAAGAACTGTACGCAGGTGCAAGAAACAAGCTTTGAGAAAATTAGAGTTTAGTGATCTGGCTACTGATTCTACCAATTCTAATTTAGAAGAGGAACCCATGGCTCAAAATCGGACTTTAAAAGAGCTTGGAGCACCAAATTTAGATCACCAACCTTTATGCATCACTTTCCCTGCTCTGGATGCTAATGTCCAATTTGAATTAAAATCTAGATTAATTCATCTTTTGCCTTCTTTTCATGGACTTGCAGGTGAAGACCCTCACAAGCACTTGAAGGAATTCCATGTGGTGTGTTCAAGTATGAAACCCACTGGGGTTACTGAGGAACAAATCAAGTTGAGAGCCTTTCCCTTTTCGTTGAAAGATTCAGCGAAGGATTGGCTATACTATCTACCTTATGGGAGCATCACCACATGGAATAACTTGAAGACCATGTTCCTTGAAAAATATTTCCCCGCTTCGAGGGCGGCCAACATTAGGAAGGAAATCTGTGGTATAAGGCAAAACAATGGAGAGTCATTGTATGAATATTGGGAGCGTTTCAAGAAATTATGTGCAAGCTGCCCACACCATCAAATTAGTGATCAATTACTCATTCAGTACTTTTATGAAGGACTTTTTCCAATGGATAGAAGCATGATTGATGCTGCAAGCGGTGGTGCTTTAGTTGACAAGACACCAGACGCTGCAAGAACTCTAATTGCGAACATGGCTGCAAATTCTCAACAGTTTGGCAATAGAATAGTCCAACCGTCTAAGCAAGTGAATGAGGTAAATATTTCTGCTCTTGAACAACAAATTTCTGGTTTAACTACTCTTGTTCGTCAATTAGCTGTAGGCAATATGCAATCTGTAAAAGCATGTGGAATTTGCTCAGTAGTTGGGCACCAAACTGATGCCTGCCCAACTCTTCAAGAAGAACCTATTGAACAAGTTAACATGGCTGGAGGTTTTCCTGGACAACCTCAAGGTAAGTATGATCCGTTTTCCAATACATATAATCTTGGATGGAGGGATCACCCAAACCTTAGCTATGGGAACTCACAAAGGAACCAATTTGTTCAAAATCGTTCTAGTTTTCAACAGTATAGACAACCATTTCCTTCAAGACAACAACCGACCCAAAACTTTAGCTCAGGTACGAATCTAGAAGATATTGTTAAATCCCTTGCTACTAACACTTTGCAGTTTCAACAAGAAACACAACTATTCCAACAAGAGACAAGAGCTAGTATTCAAGAAACAAAGGCTAGTATTCAAAACTTGGAAAGACAAATGGGCCAACTTGCAACTACGGTTAGTCGGTTGGAAGCACAAAGTTCTGGCAAACTACCCTCTCAAACAGTTGTTAATCCTAAAGAGAATGTAAGTGCAATTAATGTTGAAAGTATGTCGCTGGAAAAGAATGTTGATTTGAATAAGGAAATAAGTGCAGGAATCATTGCCAACAATAAAGAGAAGTCCCAAGGTAAGCTTTCTTCTTTTTCTGATTATGAACCAGTACCCCCATTTCCTCAAGCTCTTTTAGAACCAATAAGAGGAAACTCAAATAATGATCTGTATGAGACCTTTCGTGAATGTGATGCTAATAAATCACTTTTAGATTCTATGGAAAAAGTACCTCGCTATGCTAATTTTCTAAAAGAGGTACGCACTATGAAAAAGAAATGAAATAATGAAAGAATTGAGGAAGTGAAAGTGCAAGAGAATGTCTCTATGGCTAATCAAAGCAATCTTCCTGAAAAGTGTAAAGATCCAGGTATGTTTACTATCCCATGCATGATAAGTGGTGTTAAACTTGAAAATGCTATGTTAGATTTAGGAGCTTCTATTAATGTCATGCCATATTCAGTTTATGCTTCTTTAAATCTTGGACCCCTAAATAAATCTAGTATAATAATTCAATTGGCTGATGGATCTACTACATATCCTAGGGGTGTGATTGAGGATTTGATTGTTGAAGTTGATAACTTGGTTTTTCCTGCTGATTTTTATGTGCTTGATATGGAAAATAATAATCATATTTTGTTAGGAAGGCCATTCTTAAAAACTGAAAAAACAAAAATTGATATTCATAGTGGTATGCTTACTATGGAGTCTAATGGTAAACTTGTGACTTTTAATATTTATGATACCATGAAATCTCCTAGTGATGATAATTTTGCAATTTTTGTTGATTCTTTGAACTTTGTTACATTTGATGAAATTGCTTCGAATGAAAAAGAAAGAAATAATAAATCAGCTTTGAGTACTAATCTGCATGAAGGGACTGTTTCTTTGAACACTCATAATCATCGAAGGTACTCAAAAAGACGATGGAAATTTAAAGAAATATCATAAGTCGAGCCAACGACGATAAACAAAGGCGCTGCTTGGGAGGCAACCTAAGGTGTGTTTGTTCCATTTTTTTTTCTTTTATTCCATATTCTCATTCAATAACCCTTTTTTCTATGCTTTTTTATTCAACATTGGGGACACTGTTGATAATAAGTGTGGGGGAGGGGATTCAGTCTTATTATTTATTTGCTTATGTAAAAAATTAAAAAAAAAAGTTTTATTATTTATTTTCTTATTTCAGAATTTTCAAAAATATTTTACTACTATTTTATGTAAAAAAAAAAAGTATTATTTTGAAAAAAATTATATTTTCCTTTCTTGAAATTCATAATGTAATTGAATAAATAGTTTGGCAAAATGTGATTAGTTTGTTAGCATTTCTTGTTTGATATTTAGTGGCTATATTAAGTAAGCAATAAACCTAGGAGTGTTTTGAGCTATTGACTGACACTTCGGTCTTATTTTCTTTCTATTGTGCGATTTCTTTCATAATTTTGTTTCTCTAGAACTTGCCTTGATTCTCTTTTAAAGCTAATTAGACCATGCATGATTCAAGTGTGATTAAGGCCATTATTTGATCTTGAGCCTCACTAGCCAAATAACCGATTTGTCCTATGATTTATTTTCCCTTGTTAACTATTTTGAGCTTTATGACCATTCTTTTCTTTATTTTGAACCACATTACAAGCCTTTTATAT